TGCCAGCATTTGTGGTTAATTTCTTTTCTTTTCTTTTCTTTTCTTTTCTTTTCTTTTCTTTTCTTTTCTTTTCTTTTCTTTTCTTTTTTCTTTTCTTTCTTTCTTTCTTTCTTTCTTTCTTTCTTTCTTTCTTTCATCTTTCTTCTTTCTTTTTTCTTTTTTTTTTGCATTTTAGGGAAGGGTCTACAAGGTGTTCACTAGTAGATCGGACTCATAGTGATCCATCTGTTTATAGCCTCCCAAGAGCTGGGATTATAGGCACTTGCCAACATGCCCAGTCTCAATTGCCAGCTCAGAGCACCTCGGGGGGCAGGGCCAGCACATCTGGTCTGGTGATTAAACCCCTAGCTCCTGTGCCTGATTTCAGGTGCTTTAATGCACTGAGCTATTTAGCAGGCCCAGATTTCTTGATGATAACCTTTTGTGCTGTGGTGAGATGAAATCTTGTTTTTTCAATTTGCATCTCTTGAATGACCAACGATGTTGAACATTTTTTATGTATTTATCTGCCATTTGTATTTTTTCAGCTGAGAAATATGTATTTATCTCAGATGCCCATTTTTGGATTGGGTCTTTGCATTTAGAGGGATCTGATTTTTAAAAATTCTATATATGTTCTAGATATAAGTCCTTTGTCTGAGGGCCAGTTAGCTAAATTTTTTTTTCTACTCTGTGGATTGTCTTTTCAGTCTTTTGGGATTTCTTTGGATATACAAAAGCTTAACAGGATGAGATCCCAGTTGTTGATTCTTTGAAGTGTTTACTGTGCAGTTTGGTTTTGTTCATGAAGTCTCTGCCTACCTCTGTCTCTTCTAGATTTCCATCTACTTTCTTGTTCAGTAGATTTAACAGTTCTATTTTAATATTTAGATTTTTTTATTCATTTTGATTTTAGTGAATGGTGATAGACTTAGGTGTAATTTTAGTCTTTGGCACGTAGAGAGCCAGTTTTTCCTGCACCATTTATTAAAGAGGCTATCTTTCTTCCAGTGAACATTTTTGGCCCCTTTGACAAAGATAAGGTGTGTTTGTAGTTCTATCTGTATCTTCTAATCTCAGACTGGCTCTCAGGTCTGTTTTTATTTTTGTTGTTGTTGTTGTTTTGCCAGTACCATGCAGATTTTATCACAGTGTATTTGTAGTGTAATTTCAAGACAGGGATTGTGAGGCCTCCTGATTTACCCTTGTTGCCCAGGATTGCCTTCACTATTCTAAGTATTTTCTGGTTCCAAATGAATTTTAGGAATGCTTTTTATAGCTCTGTGAGGTATGCTAATGATATTTTGATAGGAATTTCATTAAATATGTATGACAATTTTGGGAATAAGACCATTTTCACAATGTTGGTTCTTCCTGTCCATGAACAAGGGATATCTTTCCATTTTCTGATATCCTCTTTGATTTCCTTTTTCAGAGTACTGTAATTTTCAATATGTAAATCTTTTGTTTCCTTTGTTATATTGACTTCTAAGTATTTCATTCTTTTTGGATGCTATTGTGAAGGGTGTGGTTTTCTTAATTTCTCTCTCAATAAGTTTTTTGTGTACAAGTATACTATTGAGTTTTTATATTTTGTATCCAACTACATAACTGAATTTGTTTATTAATTCTAAAAGTCATTTGGTAGAGATTTTGGGGTATTCTTTACAGAGTATCATGTTACGTACAAATAATAATAATTTAACATCCTTTCATATCCTTATTTCTTTTATCTCTCTCTCTTGTCTAATCCTCTCAGCAGCATTTCTGGAACTGTGTTTAAAAGGAATGGTGATAGTGAATATCCTTGTCTTGTTCCTGATTTTAGAGTGAAGGCTTCTAGTTTTTGTCTACTTAGTATGATGTTGGCTTTGGTTTGTGGTATATGGCTTTTATCAGATTGAGATAAAGAGCATCTATTCCAATTTTCTATGGGGCTTTTATCATAAATTGGTGCTGGACTTTATCAAAAGCTTTGTTTGCATCTATTGAGATGATCATGTGATTTTTGCTTCTGGCTTTTTTTATATGGGGCATTACAATTATCAATATGCACATGTTGAACCATCCTTGCATTCCTAGGATAAATCCCACCTGTCATTGTGTATAATCTTTTTGTTTTGTGAAAAACCACACCTCAAAAAACACTTTAATTCCAGCCTAACAGCACCAGGTGCTATGTCTAGGGCCAGACTCTGGGTACAGTGCTGTGTGGTGACCATGCATTCACAAGGCTCCAAGAAGGTCCCCAAAGGGGGACTTACCTTTGAGGATTAAGCCAAAGAGGGGAGGGGCAGCCCCAGAACAGGGGCAGGGGCAGGCCTGGGGAAAAAGGTGCTGCTTCTTAGCAAAGGAGATCTTCATGGCATTGTTTTGGGTGATCTTAAAGCCCTTCAGGGCATCTCAAGCAGGCCCTGGCCTGCACTTCATTGTCAAACTCCACGAAGGCGATACCGTGCCCCCATGGCACCAGAAAGACCTCCTTGAAGTCAGGGAACTGGTTGAAAAGCATGGACAACAGGAGCTTGTTGGTCTCTTCTGGCAGGTTGGTCAGGAACAGGATGTGATTTGGTGGATTCTCCAAGACAGACTAGGCAAGTGGCATCTGCCCTGGCATAAGCTGCTGTGGGGGCATGGCCCCAGGAGGAATCTGGCCTGGGGGAGGCCTGGAGGCGAGATCATGCCAGGAGGTGGCATATAGGGTAGCTGGCCCAGCATGTGGCACATGATGCAGGGAGCCTGAGTCATGGGTGGCATGCCAAGGACAGGGCCCTGGACAGTTCCCACCACAGGGGCTGCTGCCCCAACCTGCACAGCCTTCTTGGCAGATGGCATCTGCTGGCTCTTGGGCTTTCTTAACTCCCATTTGCAGACCCACTCCACAAAAGTACCCTTCATCTTGGCAATGATGTCTGAGTCAGTTGTGGCATACTGGATGCACATTGTCTTGTTGGAGAAAGGGAAACCTTGTATGGAGTGCAGGGCATTGGTGGCACTGCTGACCTCCTTGAAGATGACAAAAGCCTGCCCTCTCATTTTCAGGCTCCAAGACAACAGAATCTCCAGGATCTGGCCAAACTGGGAGAAGATGGCATACAGGGACTCTTTCAGCTCATCTTTCTTGATCTTCTTATTGAGGTTGCTCATATAAATAGTGTGGTTGGGGTGGGTCTCAGGAAGTGCCATGGTAGGGCAACAGGGCCATAGTTCCCACAAACAGTGAGAGCCAACTAATTCAGATCAGACTGCCCTAAAATCTTCTTAATGATTTGTTGCATTCTGTTTGTTAGTATTTCATTGAGGATTTATGCATACAAGTTCATTAGGGAGATTTGCCTGTAGTTCTCATTTTTGGTTATGTCTTTCTCCAATTTTGATATCAGAACAATACTTGCCTCCAGAAATGAGTTAGGAAGTATTGCTTCCATTTCAATTTCATTAAAGAGTTTGAAGAATACTGGTACTAAATCTTCCCTAAATTTTGTGTAGAATTCAGCAATAAATCCATTAGGACCTGGGCTTTTCTTTGTTGGCAAATTTTGAATTACTTTCCCAATCTCATTAACTGATATTGGGTTATTGAGAGTTTTCATATATTCTTCATTCAGCTTTGGTAATGAGTATATATTTCTAGGAATCTGTCCATTTTTTCTGTGTTTTCCATCCTACTAAAGATTTTTGAGAGAAAGGAAAGGAAGAAGAAGAACAAGAAGCCATGGCTGCTGTGGTTGGTCTTTGCAGTGGTCTAGGGAGGAAGAAGTCAACACACTGGGTAAAGGCTACTGTCTGCCTCATAGATCCTGCAACTCACATGATGCTATAGAGAAGAGGTTGTTCACAGTGTAAACAGATAGGGCTGGATAGATGGCTCAGTAGAATAAGCGCTTGCCTGGCAAGCACAAGGGTCTGAGTTCAATCCCCGTTTATAAAAAAAAAAGAACACAGTGTAAACAGATAACCAGCAGTGAAAACTGGCCTGTTGTAATGGAAAACGCTTATAAGGAACCTCTTAAGAAGTGTGGGAAACATTTGGATTACAAGTATGTACAGCTTTTGTTCAAGTTTATTTCTCCATATACTGGCTGCATTCATGTGATGCACATAACAGATCTTTGTCAGAAGAAAAAGAAATTTCAAAAGCCATTAAGAGAGCACAAATTGTGCAACTTATGCCAGTTATGTACAAGGATCCTTCCTATCTCAAAGATCCTAAAGTTTGCAACATCAAATATTGGGAGCAAATTTCATAGTTATCACCAATAAACTCACTTTACAGTAAAAAAAATTCTTTTGAAGTAGGTATTGATGATCTTCTGAAATTCCATAGGATCTACAGACCTTGTAGAATTTCAAAAGACTATGTAGTCACTTCACCTTTTTCATTCCTAAATGCATAAATTCAAGTCTTTTCTTTTTTCTTTTTCTTGGATAAGGTTGGAAAGCATTTATCAATTTTATTTATTTTTTCAAAGAACAAACTCTTTGACTCATTCTTTGTATTGTTTTCTTGATCTGCACTGCATTAATTTCAACTCTGATCTTTATAATGTTCTCTCCTCTGTGGGCTTTGGTTTTGTCTTGCTCTTCTTTTTCTAGAAGACTGAGGTGTAATATTAAGTTGTTTATTTGTGCTTGTTCTGTTTTTCTGATGTGAGACTTCACCACTATAAATTTCCCCCTTAGAACTGTTTTCATTGTGTCCCATAGGTTCCAATATGTTGTATCTACATTCTTATTTAATTACAGATATTGTTTAATTTATTCCTTTATTTCATCTGTGACCCATGGGTTGTTTAGATGGGTAGTACTTAATTTCCATGTGTTTATAGAGCTTTGTGGTTTCTTTTGCCATTAATTTCTAATTTCATTGCACTATAGTAAAAAATATGTATGGGATAATTTCAATTCATTTGCAATACTTAGGCATGTTCTGGGGGCCAGTGTATGTCTATTTTAGAGAATGTTCCATGTGCAGCTGCAAAGAATGTATATTCTGATGATGCTGGATGGAATGGTCTGAAAACATCTACTAAGTCCATTTGTTCACAAGTTTGGTTCAATTCTGTCATTTCTTTGCTGATTTTTTGTCCAGTTGATCTATGTGTTGGTGACAATAGGATATTGAAATCTCCATTATAATTGTGCTGTTATTTGATTTTTCACGCCTATTAACTGTTTTATATAGTTGGATGCTCCCATATTTTATGCACACATATTTAGGATTATTATCTCTTCCTCTTGGAGTTTTCCCATAACAAGTATGTAATGATCTTCTTTATCTTTTTTGATCATTCTTGGTTTGAAGTTGTCTGCAAATAGAATAGCTATCCCTGACTTTTTCTGGTTTCCTGTTGTGTGGAAGATTGTTTTCCATCCTTTGATTTTCAGTCTATGAATTTTTTTGTGTTAAATGCATTTGTTATATACAGCATATTGTTGGTTCTTGTTTCTTGATCCACTCTGATAGTCTGTTTCTTTTCATTGGTGAATTGAGGCCATTTGCATTGATGATTAGAATATATGTTTTGGGTTATGTTGGTCATGTTATTTTCCTGCTGTTTGTTCTCTACTCTCCCCTTCTGTTTAGTTGTTTGTTCTGCTTGGTAGTTTCTTTCTGTTGTTGTTTTTGGAATTGCAGTCACTTTTATCTGTCTAGAATATATTTCAGTAGTCTTAGCAGCATTGGTTTGGTGTTTATAAATCTCTTCAGTTGTTCTTTATCATAAAAGCATCTTATTTCTCCATTAATTTTGAAACATCGTTTTGCAGATTACAGCCATCTGAGTTGGAAGTTGTTATTTTCTTACAGGACTTGAAATACTTCATTCCAAACTCTCCTTCACTTGAATATTTATGTAGAGAAGTCTTCCATGATTCTGATGGGTTTTCCTTTATAGGTGATCTGTTTCTTTTTTCTACCAGTTTGTAATATTTGTTCTTGTGCTGAATCTCTAGAATCTCGATTGTAAGGGATGGCATCTAGCATAATACCCTATTCACTTTTAGAAGTAAAAGAGAATGAGGCAGAATTCAATTAATCACTGCCTAAAGTATTTACATAGGAGCAGCTTTGCCTAAATTGTCCCATTCCTCACTCCTTCCCTTGCCCTGTCAGAAACTTCACAAACCCATAGGAGATAAGGAGGAGATAGGACCCATTTAGGGCAACAAGATACAGACTGTTTACTCATGCTTAGCCATAAATCCTTCTGCCCAAGACTTCACCCTAAGGGATATAGGGGGCACTACATTTTTACCTGTTTGCCATAGCAACAAGGAAACTATAAAAGCAGGTAGGAGATAGGGCAAGATGGTGCATGCCTGTAATCCTGGCTCTTGGGAGGCTGTAAACAGGTGGACCACTACAAATCTGATTTAGTAGTGAGATCTTGAACACCCCATAGACCCTCCCTCTCCCCTCCCCCCAAAAAAAAACCAGATAGGGAACAAAGAACTGGGCCTTTGTGTCTTCCCAGATGGGGTGGGGAGCACATAGGTCACCGGCTAATTAATAAAAAGTTATGTAATTCCTTTCAATTTGGTCTCCTGTGGGCAATATATTTAATCTCAGCCATAACATTGATTACTATATGTCTTGGTGTAGTTTTAACTTGGTCATGATTATTTGGAGTTCTATGTGCTTCATTTATTTATATGTTGCATTATTACCCACATTTGGGAAGTTTTTGCCATTATTTCTGTGAAGAGATTTTTGTGTCATTTGTGCTGTCTCCAGCTTTTTCATTGACCCTAGTCAATCATATCTTATTTGTCTTTGCTTCATCTTGTAGCTGGTAGGTTGGTTTTCTATGATTTCTTGCTATTTTGAAGATATCACTCTTTTTGTAATCACTAGATGCCATCCTGTCTTCAAAATCTGAAATCCTATCCTCTCCTTCATTCAATCTGTTGCATATACTTTCAATGGAGGTTTTAATCACTTGGATTTCTGTTTGGATCTGTTTCATGGATTCTCCTGCTTTCCTATGCTGCGCATTTTCCCCCATAATTTTATTGATAAACAGATAGCAATGAGACAGTTTCAAATTAAATTGGTAGGACAGTTTCAATAATTAACACACTGCATACATTCTTCCTAATGGTTAATTGCTGTACAAGATGCGGACATGATATCCTATTTACAAACACCATTAGAACAAATTCCTCTATTCATTAAGAGAATGCAACTATATATCTATCCTAACCATTTTGAATACACAGATACAAAATGGACATTCTTCTGTATCCTCTTTTTTTGTTAAGTTCCATTATTTGAATATTATAGGTGTGTAAACTCAGCAAAATATTCTAAAAGAGTCCAAAAGCCCATAATAGTATTGGGTCTTCCACTTCACTGGCAATGTCAGAAATTGCTGACCTTAGTCCGCTACAGCTCAACATAACAGCATGGCTTTACTTCTTATATTTCATTTTTGTACTTTTCTGCTGGATGGTTAAGACCAAGGTAAAGCAGGACCTGTGCAACAAGAGTTGTAGCTTTTGGATCTGATAAGGTCTGTGAAATCCCCTCAGGATTTCTCCTGAGATCCAGTACCTCAGATTGTAGAACCTTTGTCAGTGTCAGCCATGTGGATGAGTCACAGCCATTGCTTGGCCAATGTGCTCTCTGTGAAAGCCTGAGAGAATGTCCTCTCTCCATGTGACTCTCCCTAGGCACACTCTACATCATTGATCACTTTCCTCTTTGGTCCCATAATCTCCTTGATCAGAAAATTTGGGACACTACCAAGTTAAATGTCGTTACAGTACAAGTTCTCATATGTCCTGAGTCTTAATTGACCTTGGAAGACTAGGGCCAAAATGTTGGCTTTGCTGTGCATTTTTTTGTTTCCATCATTTTTTAAGTTCATCTACGCTTTCATTTGTGTCTTCTCTAATATCTTGGGTTTTAAGCATCATTTCTTTTCTGTACCTGAGAGACTATTTTCTCCACAGTCTTTTTCACTTCTGCTGCTATCATTTCAGAATTAATCTAATTCATCAATTTCATCTATCTCCTTGAGTTTCAGGCTTGTCTTGGATGGGCTGGGGGGTCTAGGGTTGCATTTTTGTTCTGCATGATGTCATTTTCTGTTTCCTCTTTATTATTTTGTTTTCTATGTTGACACTTGCTGATCTCTAATGAT